TATACATATATACTTTTTTTTTTCTTTTGAATGGCTGCCTCTTGTTTCCTTTGGATTTTATTGGGGTGGGGAAGGAAGGTATCTTAGTTAAGGCACCTAGATTTCTCCTGTGCTCTGCTTATCAGCTTTCCCTCTTGTCTTGTTAATTGCTCCCACCCCTAAAGTTTTAACTCTTTCTAGTCAGGATCAGCTAGAAACCCTAATGAGGCCTTATTTTATCCTTTTCCCTCCCTACAGACCCCTTTTTCATGCATGAACAGAAAAATGATGCAGGGTGACAGAAAAACACTGCACACAGGTCACAGCACACAGAAGCAGCAGCAGCAGCTCCTCATAATTTGGCTTTCAGCATTTAAAGGATCAGCATCTCAGCCCAGGTGTCTCGCCTGAGTCTTCAGATGTGATTGACAGGAATGATTGACAGCGGGCTGAACATCTCAGGGGCTCTCAACATGCATGCTTGTACCAGAATTCCCTCTGATCTTAATTACATGCAACGAGATGTAACTGCCTACTCAGGAACTTTTAATAAGGTTGGAGTAGGTTGAAGGTGTGTGGAGGTCAGGCCAGGGAATCCAACACATCAGAGATGTACTGGGTTTTTGAAGGTTACTCTCTACCTCTCTTAGGATAATTGAAGCAGGAGTGGCCCTAGGGTGCAATTTAAAATTAAATAGGTAGAAGGGAGTGACTCCCTCAGCTTCATTGTTTCTAATCGTACTAGCACCAGCGTTAATCAGGTAAGGCTTTTTTTTTTTTTTTTGGTACCAGAGATCAGGAGGTGGAACCACTGAGCTAAATCCCTGGCCCGAGCCTTCTTTTTAATGAAGTCTCAGGTTAGGCACCTTAGAGATGTTTACCCTTAAAATTTTCCTAAGAAGTACATGGGAAAAGTATTCTTTTAACTAAGAATGTGTAGAAACTAAGGTTCAGAGAAATTATATTATTCTTTTCAAACTCATTTAACCATGGGCTTCTAGCACCAGGATTCAAATCCAGAGCAGCTTGACGCCATGCTGATGCTCTTTCAATATAGCCTTTCTTGAGGAGATATGCATCAGATAAGACCAAAGGGAAGATCACTTGGTTGAACTGCCATCTTGAGCACTTGGGACTTTTGAACAAAGAAACCAGTCCTGAGGTAACTTGAAGTCCCCATGCTATTCTAAAGTTGTTTGGGGCTGCTGCCCAAGAAACAAAGCAGCCCAATAAAAACTGAGTTTTTATAATTGTGTCTGATTTTTGTCTATCAGGAACTCCATGGAAGGAGTAAAGAATAAGATCAGGAAGAAGTCACTATGGTCTTATTTTTAACAAAAATTTATGTAAATGTAAAATGTATAGTACTTCAAGGCAGTGTGGGACTCAAACCGCTACGTAACCCCTAGTTAGCCAGCATATAGCAGCACACATTTCTTTCTACCCAGCTCCAAGGTGAGATTAAAATAGAGTGTATGGAAGCCCAGTACGGGTAAACAAGACAGCGACTCAAGGCCTCCTTAGAACAGAACAGCCTGAGGTCTGGAGATGAAAGACCAGGTGCACCGTATAGCTGACTCCTTTAGCTAGATGGCAGAAAATCGACCCCCTGACCCCTGGCCCACTTGCTGTGCTTGCAGTCCTCTTCCCTTGCGTTTAAAAAACTGTGCTAACCCCTGGGCTGGGCCTCTCTGCGCTGCTCAGTTCTGAGAGTGCCGTCTGGCCAGACTAATAAAGATCTATTTACCAATGACCCTGGTGTGTTCCTTCCTGGGTGACTCTCGCTGCTCGTTGAGCTACCAGAGCCTTGCTGAGCTATAGGTCCCAGCATCTTGGAGGCCCTTTGGGCTGTTCAAGGATCCCAGAAGTAAGGCCCTGGGTCTTGCATCTGAAGCCATCGTTGGGCTATAGGATGCAGCATTGTGAAGGCCCTTCTGGCTGTTCACACTCCTCAGAGTGGAAGTGAGACTTTAGGTCTTACAGTAGATGTTTGCAATGGCACCAAAAAGTATCTTTAAGAGGGAGCTGGAGTCTACAAGTTCACTTATTATTTAAACACCTGATCAACATACTATTTTATATGGTTAAGTTACTTCTTTGAGTTGCTTCTCTTAAATTATACCTTCCTCCTCACCAGCTCTCTCTGGCTTCTGTTTTCTCATATGGTTCATCTCTTTCTTGTTTTTTTCTTTTCAGTAATCCATTTTGCCAATTAATCTTTTATTTTTATAACATCAATATTTTACAGAAAAAAAGAACTCTTTAAGGTTAAACTGTAATTAATTACATCTTATATTTTCAAAGTTGAAACCTAAATTTTTACACAATTACCACAAGTAAACATAATTTATATTCTAATCAACATTTTGATTTTAAATATTTTGCATACAATTTACATACATCAATATCTAAAGGCTATATAACAGTTTACCATAGCAATGGCAACACACTAAGATTTATCCATTTCTCAAGGGCTTTTTAAAAAAACTTATAAAAGTAGTTTTTCTTTAATCTTTTTCTTTTTGTTATTTGCTGGCAGCCCTCAAAACATGCTGGCTGACAGTAAAATTATTGGGCATTTAAAGGAAAAAAAGATAAAAATTATCATTCTAGACACCATGACAACAGTCTGCTTGTGCATTTGCAAAGGAATCTTAGCAGGTTTTTGTTGAGATTGAACCCAGGGACTTGTGTGTGTTTTCCTGTTGAGCTCCCCTGACACGCCAGGGTAGGTTTTTAGTATGTTGACAGATCATTATTAGAAAATGTTGCCAGTTATCTTACAGCTGAACAATTAGTCTGACAAAGCCATTTGTGGAGCTTGGCACAGTGAAGATTTTGGTCATTCAGGGATGAGGATAATTGGTCTTGGGTGGGAGAAACAGCATCCTATAAGCTTTGATGAGGTATTGACTCGTCTCAAGTTAAAAGAAAAAATAGAACGCCAGAGGGTCTTCTCGGCCATGCCCTCTCCTGCAGGCTGCATCCGCCATCTTTAGCCCAGAGGGTCTTCTCGGCAGCACCCTCGCCCTCCCCGCAGCTTTCGGCCATCTTTAACGCTAGAGGGTCTTCTCGGCCACGCCCTCTCCGGCTGACTGTGTTCCGCCATCTTCAGCACCAGAGGGTCTTCTTGGCTGCGCCCTCCCCGCAGCGTTCCCACCATCTTCACCGCCAGAGGGTCTTTTCGGCCACACCCTCTCCAGGCTGTGTTCCGCCATCTTCAGCACCAGAGGGTCTTCTCTGCCGGGTCCTCCCCTGCTGGCGTTGCTACCGCCATCTTCAGTGCTAGAAAGGTAGTCGCGCGGGCACCCCTGAACCCCCCAACCTTCCCCCTCGCGCTTTTAGACCTCCTGATTGGGCCCATCTTTGGACCTATTCTGTAGAGGCAGAGGTGGTCATAAAGAGTATTTTCTGGCACTTTCAACTTTGAACATCTTTAAAGAAGTGGTGGGGGAAATTTATAGTAGAACTGAGTGGAGTTCAGCCCTTTAGGACGTCGGGGAACTTAGTGTGGGCCTTGCAGCCTGAGCTCGGTATGCTTAGTGGGGTTCTGCCACCAGCTAGCTAAGGTCAGGGGACTCGGCTCTGCAAATGGCAGCACATATTGTATATTATGACAGAAATGATATAGTCTGAAAGAGGCTCTTTAAATTCATTTTTGCTTCTTTCTTTTTATCATCCTACTCTGCAAATTCTTTTTTTTTCTTTTTGTTTTTTCTCTAACTCAGTCTCTTACTCCACTGTAGTATCCCTTAGCTCTCTGTTTCTGCTCTTGTCCTAATTCAGTTTTCTTCTTTTATTATTTTTTTCTCTTTTCTTTATGTTCTTTTCTTATGTTATTCTACCTCACTTAAGGGTTACTATATTTCTATTTTGTTTCTTCTTTTTGAATTTAACAATTTTCTGACAATTGTCTGGTCATTCTACATCTTTTGGCTTCATATGAAACTTTCTCTAATTCTTATACTTATCTACTCCTCTTGTCTTAACTTTGTTTTATGCCCCCATTGTAAATGGTAAATATCTTTATTGAAAAGTTTATTTACTGTAAGCATATTTTGGATTACTTCTTGTCTTAATTAAATTTACATGGTTTGAAGGTGATTGATGACTACCATAAGTGGTCAATTTGCAAATTGTGCTTCATTATATTGTGGTGCTGATTGTATCAATTAGGATAAAGGATTGTGATTGATTCAATGAGCTGTTTTCTTCAGTATGATGAAAATGAGAATGTCTAAGAGTCATTAGAGACCCATGGGCTGCAGCCCAACTATAGCAGGAAGATTTAAGTAATAATCTGAAGGTTAAAAACTAAGGATAACCCAACAACAATAATGAAAATGAGAAAATGCTTAAGCAAGATACAGGAACAGACTTCCAGTTCACCAATGGCAAATAGTGGGGCAAATGAGGATGAAAAGTCTGATAGTGAATCATCAGGACACCCTGAACTCAAAGCACAGGAAGTAACAAAACTGATCATTCAGGCTCTAGAGAAATATAAAACCGAAGTAATTTCCCAGATAATCATAGAGATGACAAGCAAAATGAAAGTTATAATTCGTGACTCTAGAACAGAAACTGAGAGGAAAATAGATGAGCTCAGGACCATGATAGAAGCCATGAATGCCCAGCATAAGAAAAAATTGGAAACTATAAATGCCCAATACAAGAAAGAAATGGAATCCATAGGACAGATTCAAACAGATATCCAGGAGATTAAAAACTCCATTGAGAGTGTTCACAAAAGAATAAAAGAGTCCAAAGATAGAATCTCAGATATAGAAGATAAAATTGCAGTCAGTGACCGTGAAAAGAGAGGTCTCTTAAAAACAGTAGGAGATCATGAGAAATTGATACAACTCTTAGACGATACTAAGAATAACATAAGATTGATAGGAATTCAAGAAGTAGTAGGAGAAAATGTAAATGACTTTAAAAAGCTGTTCACAGAATTAATTATAGAAAACTTCCCAAATAGAGGGGAAGAATTTGACATACAGATAAGTGAGGCATATAGGACTCCAACTAGCCATGATCAAGAAAAATCTACACCTAGACATATAATAACCAAGATCCCAGAAACCCAACAGAAGAACAAAATACTACAAGCAGCAAGAGACAAGAAACAAATTACATGCAAAGGAAAGCCTATCAGAATTACAGCAGACTTTTCAATACAAACCCTTAGTTTAAGGAGAGCCTGGAATGAGATATTTCAAGTACTAAAAGAAAACATCCTCCAACCTAGACTGATGTATCCTGCAAAACTTTCTTTTAAAATGGATTGGGAAATAAGATATTTCCAGGATAAAGAACACCTGAGAAACTTAATGAATAACAAACCAGCACTACAACAGATTCTAAACAATATCCTAGAAAAAGACAATGAAGGTAACAACACAATGAGGCCCAACAGAGCAAATCAAATAGGCAAGCCAAGAAACTAAAAGAAGAAAGCAAAAAAAAAAAAAAAAGATAATAATAAATATTGGTTATAACATCAATATTAATGGTCTCAATTCACCAATCAAGAGAAACAGACCAGCAGAATGGATTAAGAAGCAAGATCCAATAATATGTTGTATACAAGACACGTCTAGTGTAAAAAGAAGCCCATAGACTGAAAGTGAAAGGACAGAAAACTTCTTCATGTAACAGGAGCTCCCCCGCCCCCCCAAAAAAGAGGGCTAGCAATCTTATTCACAAAGTAAGTTTCAAACTTAAACTGATTGAAATAGACAAAGAAGCTCACTACATCCTTGTGAAGGGAACAATTCAAGAGGAAGATATAACAAATAATTTATTTTTAATTTATTGAGTATGTCAGAAAGTATATATGCTTTTTTCCCCTCTTTTCTTCTTTTTTTCCTTCTTCTTTTTCTTCCTCTGATGCTGGGGATTAAATTCGGCACATTGTTCTGGCTAGGCAGGTGCAGCACTATTGAGCTAAATCTCAGGCTTTGCATTTCATATTTTTAAAATTTATCAATACATTAATCCTTGTCTCTATATGTTGGTCTACCAAATTGATGAGTTATTTTGGTTCTCATTTTCTTTGCTTTTTTATTTGAGAATTTATGAAATCTGTATATATGAGTAGTATGAAAAGTATTAAGGCCCATCTGTCATTTTCCTCTTTCATCTCTGCTTTCTACAAACTTCCTTTTCTGTCACTACAGCTTGTTTGGTTGGAAATTTGTTAAGATAAATGTTGTTATGTTATCAATATATCTTTGTACCTATTTTCTAATGATGATGAATATTAATTTTTAAGTAAATTTTATTATAACTATATTTAATCATTAATATCATTTAGTATCTGATACATATTACAAATTCTCCAACTCCTTCAAAGATGATATTTGTTTTTTCTCAAATTATACAAATCACCAATATTCCACACATCACTGCACTATTTTATTATATCTAAGTATATATTGTAGAAAATATGCATTGTGTATATGTGGGGGGGTATGTTTTTATATACATGTGTGCACTGTTAAATGAGAAACATAGGCATGAATGTGGTAGGATTGTGCACATTTGGCATATTGATAGTTTCTCTGGCAGCCTTATGATTTCTTTAAATTACATGCTTGACTTCATAGTCATTCATTTGGGAAGAATATTACATATCTATTGGTGTTAAATTCTATCATTATGCTTATAAAATATAATAAAAATAAGTATGGGATATAATAAAATAGAAACAGAAAAATCTGATCTTAAAAATGTGAATTTTTTTAGTTGCTTTTGGATTTCAAATATAAGTGTATTTTTTTCTGTGGGAAGTTTTGTTAGAAAATGTAAGTGGTACAATCAATAAGTATATGGTATTTATCAATTAATTAAACCAAGGAGTTTATAAATCATAAGATATTGAGGACAGTTTCTCAACTATAATATGTAACTTGGTTTTATTTATAATTACATTATTTCAAAAATATTATAAGAAAATGAGAAAGAACATAATGTTTGAAGATCATATCAAACTAATATATTTCGATTAGTCTGTGTTACATAAATTCTTGTTTATTTCATATCTTTTTTTGCTGTCATATATATGTATATTTGAAATTTTTATTTAGTATCTTCATTTCTTGTTATGTATCTTTGCAATCTTTAATTAAAAAAAGTTAAAAGAAAAAATAAAGGAAGAAAAGAAGGAAAGGAAGAAGGATGGAAGGAAGGAAAGAAGGTTGGTTCAGAGCTTTCTGTTAGACACACAAATGGAAAATGGTCTTGTGTCCAGTGACACAGAAGTGAGCTGTAGGAATTGTGGCAGTGACTTTGGCTCAAACATATTCAGATTTTAGAACACTAACCATGGGTTCCACAAGTTACTATACCTTCCTGAGAGTAAATTTCACATCTATAAAGAAACAGTGCATTAACCCACAGGACAGGTGTTGGGGTCAAAGGGACAGAACACCAAACACTGTCACAATGTTTTATTGCAGAATATGAGAGATTGGAGAGCCCAGTGAGTGAAACAGGAGTATTTAACTAGGTTTGCACTAGGTCAGAGGACTTGTGTCCAAAGGTTGAGCCCAGAACAAAGGAAGGGCTCTAGTTTTATACATGTTGCAGAGGGCTGTTGGTCTCCCTAACAGCATGAAACTTGTGGATAAAAGCAGAACAAAAGCAGTCAGTCAAGCTGTGACAACTTTGCAATTTAGCATATCTTGGTGGCCTTGGTCTGGTAAAAACAGAATCTCATAAGAACAGGAGGGTGTGAAACCTTACTTACAGGGACAAAGTTACTAATTTTATTTGTAAAAGAACAACAGCCATAGGGAAGGGGAGTTTTAGGGGGAATTGCTTAGGTTGGGAAAACTTGTTTTTCCTCTTTTTGGGGGTGGTTTTTTGAGACAGGGTCTCACTATGTAGTTGAGACTGACCTGGAACTACTGTGTAGCCCAGGCTGGTCTTGAACTCACAGCAATCCTCCTGCCTCAGCCTCCCAGGTGCTGGGATTACAGGTGTGCACCACCACATCCAGCATTTTTTCCCTCTTTCTTAAAGACCTGCTTCATTGTGAGGAGCCTCAGCGGAAGTTAGCTCCACCTCTGACTCAGGGCTCTAATCCTGAGGCATTTTACATCCACTTGTGAGGATATCAGAGGAAATCTTATATACTTCCATCCCCATTATCCTAAATTCATGCTGTGTTGATGTGGAGCTCAGTTTTTAGACATTTTTCAAAAATTAAGGACCATTTCAGGACAAAGTGTTCACAAACAACATTGGAAATTTCAGCAAAGGAATTTTTCACAGTGAACTTTCA